GTTAATAGTATGTCTATAGTTATAGAATACATAAAATTAAATATTTTAATAATTAACTAATATTTTAATAATAAACTAATATGTAAATATTAGTTTTATACTGTCCATGTCCCATAAAATTAAACATAATGGTAAAATAAAAATGTACAAATAATAAGAATAAAATTGTTTTGTACAATGTAAAATTCAAATCACAAAACTAAAAAAAAAAAACTCAGGCCGGTTCGGTTTCGGTTTCACCCGAACCGAACCAAACCCGCCAACATCAATTTCGGGTTCCAGTACCCGAAACCCACAGGAGTGCATTTCGGGTTCGGTTTCGGTTTGTGAGGGGGCGGGTTCGGTTTTACGGGTTTCGGGTTCGGTAACCCGACCCGAACCGAACCGACAGCCCTACTCTTGATTCACCCCTGCTCTCCAAACACAATAACTAGAGAGGAAGGATCTCATAGTATTTCCCCCAAATCCATTATGTTTATATCGACTTGATTAGCGCTGTTAGATAGTTTGATTATAACCGCAATTGTTTAGTTGGTTATCGGTTAACCATTAAGTAATATATGTGATTACTGTTGACTGTGTGATTTATATTAGTTACTTAACCATAACTGTATAGTCAGTTATCGGTTATTTTGTCGGCAAATCGGATCGTTAAGCAAGTGATTAAGGTTAGACCAGAATAATTTATTGGTAACTTAACCAACATAAGAATTTTTTTCAATTGTACATTTTGATAAAAAAAATTCCTCCATATGCATGTCTTTTTAGTTCTTACCATCGAATAAAAAATAATTTAACATATATATATATATATATATATATATACATATATGGGGCAAAGGCTAGCGTACACCCGTCGTACGCTTGCGTTCACGCTCATAAATTAATTTTTAATTAATTTTATTGCAATTATGAGTCAATTGATAATTAATAATAATTATAATTATAACGCACATCCAAATAATTAATTATTATATAAGTTTTAGTCCCGTCAATTTTTGTCATTAATTAGCATCTAATCAATCATATAACTATCGGTTATATAAACTGTTGTACCTTATTTTACCAATTCATAAATTTAAAACACCCAAACTGTTTGATTAAACATAAAAATTGTACTGGGGGATTTCAACTCGATTTTGTCGTCCAACGAAAAATCGGGAGGGGGGGGGGCGGGGGGGGGGGGGGGGGGGGGGGGGGGAACCCTTGGGTACCTGCTCATTCGATGGAGTTGCGTAATTTCGTCCATGATTTAGGTCTTCATGACCTCGGATTTAATGGGTACCCATTTACGTGGACCAATAGACGGTTAGGTGCAGCGTGTGTTGAGGAAAGATTAGACCGGGCCTTTGGCTCTGCTGCGTGGGTCGAGAATTTTCCGGACACGCTAGTGAAGCACTGTACTGATCAAGGGTCGGATCACCGGGCCTTGTTGGTAGCGGATAAGCCATTTCAACGGAATTGTCGCCCGTTATTTCGGTTTGACGCACGGTGGGTGGAGAATCCGGAAGTCCGTTTAATGGTTAAGTACGTTTGGGACCAGGAGGTGAGTGGTTCGCCCATGTTCCGTCTTTGGACGCGACTTAAATACTTGCGGCGACTCCTATATGACTGGAGCCGGGCGGGGACTACTAATTCGGCAAGAAATATCCGGGCTTTGCAAACGGAAATGGATAGTGTTAGAGCCGAGCATCCGACAAATTGGGATAAGGTCCGTGAGCTGGAAGTGGAACTAAATAGACAATGGGCAGCGGAGGAGATCTTTTGGCAACAAAAATCCCGGGTTCGATGGCTTAAGAAGGGGGATCAGAACTCTTCCTATTTCCATACAGTTACTAAGGCTCGTCGTAAGAGGAATTTTATTGACGGGTTACGTAATGAGGAAGGGGTTTGGGTGACTGATGAGGCCCAAAAGGCCAACGTTGCAGTAGACTACTATGCTCATTTATTTGCTACTGAAAAGAATATCCCAGATATCGGGGAGAGGGTTGCGGAGCTCCCGATTAAGCGCCGGGTCACAGACCAGATGAATAGTTAGTTGACTGCTGAAGTTTTGCCGGGCGAGATAAGAAAGGTGGTTTTCTCGATAGGTGCGACCCAGGCGCCGGGTTCAGATGGATTCACGGGGAAATTTTTCCGGGCTTATTGGGATATCATTGGAGACACGGTTATTGAGGCTGTGCATTTGTTCTTTGTGAATGGTCGCATTTTACGAAGCTTTAATCATACTTGGCTTACGCTGATTCCCAAAGTGGATGTAGTGGAAGATATTCGCCAGTTGAGGCCGATTAGCCTTTGTCAGTTTGTGTATAAAGTAATTACAAAAATCATGACTGATAGGCTGGCGATACATCTTCCGCACATCGTTTCCCCGGGTCAGAATGCGTTCATTCGGGAACGACAAATTGTGGATAATGTGCTAATTGGGCATGAATTGATGCACTACCTAAAGATCAAAACGAAAGGCAAGAAGGGCTATATGGCTCTGAAGGTGGACATGAAAAAAATCCTATGATAGGGTTGAATGGCCTTTTTTGCTAGCGGTTTTGACTCGACTAAGTTTTAATGAGGTTTGGATAAGGTGGATTCAGGAGTGCTTATCCTCGGCGACATTCTTGATAATGATGAATGGCAAACCCTCGGGATATTTCCAGTCTACACGTGGGTTAAGACAGGGTGATCTCCTGTCTCCGTTGCTATTTGTCATCTGTACGGAGGGGTTTGCGGCCCTTTTGCGGAGGGCAGTGACGAATGGCCACTTAGCCGGTATACGGGTTAGCCCACGTGGTCCCCGAATCCACCATCTGTTATTCGCGGATGACTCCTATTTGTTCCTGCAAGGATCGATGGAGGAATGTGAGTACTTGAAAGGCCTGCTTCAGGAGTATGAGACTTTAAGTGGCCAAAGGGTGAACCTAGCGAAATCAGCTGTCTGCTTTAGTCGGAATTTAGAGGAGCAGCAATGTGCAGACATGGTGCAGTGTCTAGGAGTTGTGGCTGTTGGGGTTCAAGACAAGTACTTGGCTTGCCTACCCTGATTTCTAGATCTAAGTACGATACGTTTCGCTATTTGGAGGAAAAATTGCTTCAGAAATTGCAAGGGTGGAAACAGAGACATCTCTCCTTGGCGGCAAAGGAAACTCTTCTGAAATCCGTGGCTGCGGCCTTACCGATTCATGTGATGTCATGTTTCAATCTCCCGCTCTCACTGTGTCGAACGTTGGACAAACATTTGGCTCGGTTTTGGTGGGGAGCTCAGGAAGGGCAAACTCGGATTCATTGGATTTCATGGAGGAATTTATGCCGAAGTAAACACGATGGTGGCCTTGGGTTCCGGCGTTTTGAGCAATTTAACCAGGCTCTGCTGGCCAAGGTGGGATGGCGGATTTTGGAGGACCCAGACTCGCTACTAGCTCAGGTGTACAAGGGAAAGTACTTCCCGCATGGCACTTTGCTCTCTGCTCGAAAGGGGTCTAGACCATCGTGGGGCTGGCAAGGCGTCCTATATGGATGTGACTTGCTGCGCCAAGGGCTGCGGTGGCAAGTTGGTTCTGGCGAAGCGATTCCTTTGCTGGGGGCGAATTGGATACCTGGCTTGCAGTGGGATCAGGTGCAGGTCAAGCCTACGACGCATTTGACTGGGGCCGAGACTGTCTCTGGTCTAAGGGCAGCGGAGAATGGTGGGTGGTGCCTGGAATGCTTGCAAAACTGTTTCCCGTTGAAGGAGATCGATGCAATTCTGGCAATTCCGCTTCCTACGGTGCCCATGGAGTACAAGATGATTTGGGAGGAGGATGCCTCGGGTAAGTACACTGTCAAGTCAGGATATCACTTGGCAATTCGGTGTAGTCGGGCTAGAGATAGTTGGAAATCAGAGGTCAGTTGGATGGATCGAAAGCTATGGATGGAGGTTTGGGGGTACTTTATTCAGCCTAAGCTTCGGTTCTTCCTCTGGCAGGTTTTCGGCCATATCTTGCCAACTACCGAGAAATTGATATCCAAAGACGTGCAGGTCCTGCCGAGGTGCCCCGTATGTTGGGCGGAGGAGGAAACGATAGAGCATTTGCTGTTATTCTGTCCGGTAGCGATAGCTTTATGGGATGCGGCGGGTTTGCGCCATTCCTTGTATGTACATCCGACATCTCACATTGGCATCTTTATTTGGCGATTACTCTCAGCGAATGGGACGCCGGATATGGTAGTACGAGTTGTGGCTCTTCTCTGGCGGATTTGGAAGGCACGGAACTGGGTGGTGTTTGAGGGTAAGCAAGTCCTCATCTCTGTGCTAACGACTTAGTGTCATGCACAAGTCACAGAGTGGATGGCGACGCTTGAGCCGCCGCTTACCACTGTACGAGATATTGGTGCGTCATCGTCGCATATGCAGGGTATTTCGCAATTGCCACCAGGTCACGTGTGTTACTTTGATGGGGCGATCAGGGCAGGTGAGCGAGCAGCCATAGGGATGGTACTTTGTGATGCATCAGGGGCATTCGTTAGTGCGAGAGGGAGTTGGCTTCAAGGTGTGCTGGAGCCAGCGATGGTGGAATTGTTAGCGTTGCGAGAGTCCGTTCGGTGGTGTGTTGGCGCGGGATTTACGACAATGATTCTGGCAGGTGATGCAAAGGGGATCATTGATAAAGTCAGAGCAGGAGTGGTAAATGATGCGCTAGGCGGAGCGGTGTTGCAGGAAATCAAGTGGATGCTCCGAGATAATCCGGGATTCTCAGTGCACTTTGTAGGCAGACAGAACAATAGGGCAGCCCAATTAGTGGCTAGAAAACCCTCTCTTTGCCTCTGCGTACTTTGAGCAGTTTCGATTTTTGCGCTTGGCTCCATTGGGAGTTTTAAACGTTGTATCTTTGTTGTTCTTGGTAATACAAGTTATCTTTGGTAAAAAAAAAAACATAAAAATCCAATTATTATTTCTAATATCCAATCCAATTATATCCTGATCACCTTTGTCTCACAAAACTTCCTCGTGCACTAGTATTATTTGAATGGGGAGGATTGTTTGTTTTTCTGTCTTTCCAGCTCTGTTCGTGGTGTTGGCCGGTGATGAATTTGCCATGATGATAGTGGTGGTGGGTAGCTTCTCTTCTGTCTCTCTATTTGTGTTTGCGGTGGTGGTGTTGACGGATGTGTACGACGATGATGAAGAGTGTGAGCACTTGTTGAAGGCGGTGATGATGATTGGGAACCCGCTGTCAGAAGTCGAATCTGCTGTCCAGATTCTGGGGGGGACAAGTTCCGGCCGGGTTGCTCCAAGCCCACCATTGGTGTTACGTTCGCTACAGAATCTGTTGACAAGAAGGTTTCCCGATGCCGCAGCGACTCTCCGATGACCGAGGTGCTACATCTCACTTGGTGTTGATAGCGCGCGCCTATGCTTCTCCAGTTTCATTCTATTCTTACCAATTTGTTGATCTGCACTTTTTAGGTTTTTACGGATGAACACTTTGAAGAAGATGACAAAAGAGAGTTTTGATCTGAAAAGTTTGCCCAAGAAACTCCAAATTGTGTTTTACCAAAAAGGGTAAATACAATTTAATATCCAAACCTTTCATTTTAAACAATATAATAGCCAAACCTTTTCGAAAACAATCTAATATCCCGGTCAGACCATCCCTCACCCTCAGAACCCGAATGAGCACTGCAATGCCATCATGACCAGGCAAAGTACCAGGAGCCCTTTGTGCCACTGCTTGAGCCACACTCCCCAGCTGGGTTTGGATATCCTGCAAGACAGCCTGTGTGTTCCTCTGGCCAGCTTCAAGATCCAGGAATTTACCCGATGCCTTTTCCATGAACTGCTCGATAGTGTTAAATTTTTGAGCACTAGAACTGGCGAGAGAACCCACCAGAATTTGTTACTCTAGCTTTTTATTTACTGCATTTTATCTCTTCCACCTGTGTGCCTTCACGGGTTGTTTTCGTTGATTGTGTGCAGGTAGTGCATGACCCGTAGCCATTCGGGAGATCTACTACCGTTAGACCAAGAGCTTGAACGAACCTGCAGGAACTTCAAGCGGGCTCTAAAGGCGCGACTGGCTGCGGAGGAGGCGCTAGCACAACTACAGATCACTGAAGAAGAGGAGATGGCTGATCCACAGGGCCATGCTGTGGTCGATCCCAAGGAGCAGACCATGGGACATTACTGGACCGCCAGGGCTGCAGACATGAGGTCACCCATTCAACACCCTCATGTCCCAGCCAATAATTTTGAGGTGAGCACCTCAGTAATCACCATGCTGCGCGGTTCGGTGATGTTCCGTGGCAAAGAGGGAGAGTGCCCCCGATCACATCTCAGGCGATTCCATGAGCTCATTGATGGAATCAAGATCAATGGGGTCCCAGCAGATGCCATCCAGCTGAGATACTTCCCATTCACCCTGGAGGGGCAAGCCAAGGAGTGGCTAGATACTCGACCTCCGGGCTCTATCACCACGTTCGCCAACCTGGCGGACAAGTTCCTCACCCGCTACCATCCTCCATCCAAGACAGCTGACCTGCAGAAGCAAATTACCCATTTTGCTCAGGATGAGGATGAGACCATCAGGGATGCTTGGGAGAGATACACCAGTATTTTCCTCAGGTGTCCCAATCATGGTTTCAATGATGCGTTCAAGGTGGGCACCTTCTATCACGCCCTCTTCCCGGAGGACAATCAGCTGATTGATTCGGTTTGTGGCGGGAACATGCTGACCAAAACACCGCCACAGCTGAATCAACTCTTTGAGGAGATGGCGGAGAACGGGTACGATTGGGGCACTGCCAGGAGATCGAGACGAGCACCAGGACGGGGTGTGCATGCTGTGGGCACCCAGTCATCTGAGTTGGTACAGGTGGTATCGAAGCTGGTTTCAGCTATCGATCGTTCTGGTTTGATTGCAGGTACAGGACAGCCGCAGGCGATGCACTGCCAGTGGTGTGAGAGCTCCCATCACACCGTAGAGGACTGTCAGGCGATGAGGGAATCGTCTACTACCCAGGAGCAGGTGGACTTTATCAGTAATGCCAGGCGCTTCGACCCCTACAGCAACACTTATAACAAGGGGTGGCGCCAGCATCCTAACTTTTCTTGGGCTGGGGCAAATCCCAAACCACCAGCTCCCCAGGGACCACCTGGCTTCCAGAGGCCTCCGTACCAGCCCTGACAGGGCAATTTCAGCAGCCACAGCAGCCACTCTACCAGCCCAGACAGGGGCCAGTTCCACCACAGTCACAGGTGCGACCATTTCAGCAGACAGGAGCAGCACCTGCAGCTCTAGTACAGAGTGACCCGATGGCGGAATTGAGAGATTTGGTGGGTTCTCTGGCCACCTCCAGTGCGAACAAGTTCAATAACATCGAGCAATTCATGGAGAAAGCTTTAGGCAAATTCTTGGAGCTTGAAGCTGGTCAGAGAAATACACAGGCTGTGCTGCGAGACATACAGACCCAACTTGGGAGTGTTGCCCAGGCTGTAGCTTAGAGGACTCCTGGTACCTTGCCTGGTCAGACCATCCCTCACCCGCAGGACCCGAATGCCAACTGCAGTGCCATCACAACCAGGAGTGGCAAGGTGACTGCTGATCCCCCTGTTCGGGCAGAGGAGAGAGAGACCCCTGCTTCAGCACTTCCAGCTAATCCGGAAGAAATGGAAAAGGAGGTTGAGGTGCCTGCTCCTAAACCGCAACCAGTGGTGAAGGAGTATGTACCACAGCTTCCCTTTCCTACTCGGTTGCACAAGGACCGACTGGAGACTGAGTTTGCCAAATTCATGGCAATGCTGAAGCAGGTAAACATTAGCATGCCCTTCGTGGAGGCATTATCGAAGATGCCCAAGTATGCCAAGTTCATGAAGGATCTCCTCACCAACAAGAGGAAGCTTGGGGAGCTGTCAACGGTGATGCTCAACGAGGAGTGTTCTGCCATCCTGCAGAACAAACTACCAGAGAAGCGAAAAGACCCAGGGAGTTTCACTATCCCTTGCATGATTGGTAGTTTGCACGTAGGGAAGTCCTTGGCGGATTTAGGCGCTAGCATAAATGTCATGCCTTATAAACTATTTAAAAAGCTAGGCCTAGGTGAACCCAGTGATACTAGGATGAGCATTCAACTTGCTGATAGATCCATTGTGCATCCTAGGGGTATAGCAGAGGACTTGATAGTCGTAGTAGGGCCATTTTCATATCCTGTTGATTTTGTGATTTTGGACATAAATGAGGATGTTGATGTGCCATTGATACTGGGTAGACCTTTTCTCGCCACCGCCAAGGCGCTTATTGATGTTAATGATGGAAAACTGATTTTGAGAGCGGGGGGTGAACAAATCACCTTCTCTGTTTCTGATAATATGAAACACCCCCAGCTCCATGATAATCTAGATTACTGTGATGTTGTTGCTGATTTTGAGACCGCACTCGCCATCACGAGTGCGGGTACTGATGATTTCCTTGAGCGTTGTCTTTTGCTAGGGAAACAGGCATCACATGATGTGCAGCTGGAGGAGCAGCTGGCAGAGCTGGACGAGGCCATGATCGAGGGGCGAGAGATACCATTCAAGCCGATCCCCATCTCGCCCCGGCTCGCTACATCATTGGAGGAGCCACCAGAGTTGGAGCTTAAGCCCCTCCCATCTCACCTGGAGTATGCATTTCTCCGGGAGGGGAATAAGCTCCCGGTTATTATCAGCTCGGATCTGACACCCGAGCAGAAGAGCAAGCTGGTGGCTCTGCTGCAGAAGTATGCCCGGGCCATGGCATGGAAGATCACAGGCATTATAGGCATTAGCCCATCCTTCTGCTCCCACAGAATTTTGATGGAGGATGAGGTTAAGCCAGTCAGGCAGCCACAGAGGAGATTGTCTCCTAACTTGGAGGGAGTGGTCCGGGCAGAGATTGTGAAGCTCATGGATGCATGGATCATCTTTGCTATATCTGATAGCAAGTGGGTCAGCCCCACCCAGGTGGTCCCGAAGAAAGGCGGGATGACTGTGGTCCCGAATGAGAAGAAGGAGTTGATCCCGATGCGGACCGTGACCGGCTGGAGAATCTGCATCGATTACCAGCGCCTGAATGACGCCACCAGGAAAGATCATTTTCCCCTACCTTTCATTGATCAGATGCTGGAGAGGTTGGCTGGCCATGAGTTCTATTGCTTCCTGGATGGCATGTCTGGTTACTTCCAGATTCCTATTGCTCCGGAGGATCAGGGGAAGACCACATTCACCTGCCCCTTCGGTACCTTTGCTTACCGGAGGATTCCATTTGGGCTGTGTAATGCACCGGCGACCTTCCAGAGATGCATGCTGGCGATCTTTGACCGACTGGTTGGAGAGATCATGGAAGTCTTCATGGATGACTTCTCGGTTTATGGAGACTCCTTCTCTCATTGTCTCCATAACCTGGAACTCGTTCTGAAGAGGTGTGAAGAGACGAATCTGGCACTCAACTGGGAGAAGTGCCATTTTATGGTTCGTGAGGGTATTGTGCTCGGGCACAAGATCTCCAAGCAGGGGATTGAGGTGGATCGCTCGAAGATTGAGACGATCAATCAGCTACCTCCTCCTGTTTCTGTGTAGGGGATTCGCAGCTTTCTAGGTCATGCAGGCCTCTACCGGCGCTTCATCAAAGATTTCTCGAAGATTGCCCTGCCTTTGACTAAGCTGCTAGAGAAGGATGCACCATTCCAGTTCACTCCCGAGTGCACAACTGCATTTGAGACTTTGAAGGAGAAGCTGACCCATGCCCCTATCATGGTAACTCCTGACTGGTCTCTCCCTTTTGAGCTGATGTGCGATGCGAGTGACTATGTAGTCGGAGCAGTTCTGGGTCAGCGACGCGAGAAGCACTTCTAGCCCATCTACTACGCGTCGAAGACCTTGAACGATGCACAGGAGAACTACACCACCACTAAGAAGGAGCTCCTCGCTGTGGTGTATGCATTTGACAAGTTCCGGCCATATCTGGTGCTCTCACATGTGGTGGTCTACACAGATCACTCGGCGATTCGCTACTTGATGAGCAAGGCTGATGTAAAGCCTCGGCTCATCCGCTGGATCCTGCTTCTGCAGGAATTCGACATCGAGATCCGGGACAAGAAAGGAGCCGAGAATGTTGCTGCAGATCATCTTTCACGGTTGGAAGCACCTCCGGTGGACAACTTCGTGGAAGAGATCGATGACTCCTTCCCGGGTGAGCGATTGCTGGCGATGACACTGGTGGACAGCGTGACCTCGTGGTATTCTGACTTTGCCAATTATCTGGTGGGCAAGTAGTTACCCAAGGGGATGGCTACTCATGCAAAGCGCAAGTTCTTCTCCGATCTGAAGCATTACTTCTGGGAGGATCCTTACCTCTTC